TTGATCGCTAGTGTTGTCTTGAGAAAAAGGCTCATATATTCTCGATTGAAATTGTTTGAGAAAGAACCAACGGTTAATTGAGTAGCGAATTACAAATCAAGCCACCCTTTGTCTAACTCAACTTTTTGTGATGTTTGTGAGGCATCTGGAAGATGCTTTGTAATTTTTTCATATATGATTTGATTCAGGAAAGTGAGGCTTACCACACCATACAGCATGGATAGAAGACCCGATGAAGTCCGCGCTACTTACTTGGACACAACTGGCAGAACTGTCATCGTTTTGCAGAAAGAAAACCTTGTTCCAGAGCACATCCAGTCATTCACAGTGAGTTGCTCTTCGATCTGATTGATATTTCTTTTCTTCGATGAATCTGGAAATTATGCTATACATTTCCAGCTGTTCTACGAATTCGAGTTCTCGCAAATGATCCGTGAACCATTGCTCGCCACGGCATTTTTCTTTGCACTTTTCACCGTTGTAATTATCTATGTGCGGTTCGACTTCACAATCGTTGCGGTATGTTATGCTTTGGACAATTTTCGCATTTAGTGCAAATTTTCGCCTTAATTTTTCATTGGCCGTTTTTGTTGCATGATTCTTGTCTGTAAATCAAATAATGTAGGATCCGGCACGTGAAGCACGCGAACGTATCTTAGGAAAGGTGTCGGGGCTTTCCCAGTTGGTCGATAAGAAGAATCGTGTTTTCACGCAGTTTCTCAATGCTGTGAATCAGTATAAAACATCACGCGATGTTTCGGCCTTGCAGGTTTGTTTTCTGTAGATATTGTTCTAGAACTACGATTCATAGATTTTCTATAGATATTGTTCTAGAATTATGATTCATAAAAAGTTCAGGATGGAAAGAAGAAACTGGAAACGGACCGTGCTGATCTTAACGGGAAGTTGTCATCGGCGCTGGCAACTTTGAAGGAGGACAGCCAAGAGTCTTATGATAAGGTAAGTAAATGTTCTGACTCGCTGGAAGATCTTTATGCAATTGCTCTCGATTGATTGCTTACGACTTTGGACAGTGTTACTGGATTTTCACCTTCATACAGTAACATTGCTTTTTTTTTTCAAGGCTCAA